CATAATTGTCTATTTTAATTAAGGAAAAACACAGCCTTTTCCAAAGTGTAATGATATTTGCATTTTTTACTTTATTTTATGATTATTTTTGCAAATCATTATTGATTATGTCGTATTAGGTCATTTTAAATAGACAATTATGTTCTCTTTAATTCGAGTTTAATTCACGTAACCACGAGTGCAGTAGAACAATGGCTGGAGAACAAAAATAATTAAGCCTTTCTAGCCACATGTATACCTATGTACATACATATAATTTATGTATACGTGAATAATGTATTAAAAGGTTCGTTGAAATTTAAATTGTTAACCTAGATTCAGAAATAAGTAGTGATAAGCTTCAAGGACTTGATAAACAAAAGCCACGTTACATCATCTTCAGCAGCCTAGCTTTGAATATGCGAAATTTTATTAAGGTAATCGTAATACACTGAACTCCTTACGAGTATACAGAGTAAGACGTTACTAATAACAACTACAAAGAATGACACAAGTTGTTACAGGCTCGTTATAATCCTCTAAAATAAAACAAATCACAATAATTTAGTTTTGGATAACAATAGGAATATTTTGAACGGCTATCTCCTATTAAGATCCGACTTTCTGGAAATGGATGGATATTAAAACGTACAATCGGAATTTTTAATTAAAAATCACCAATCTTTTGACGTGTTGGGCGTGTTTAAAGGTCAATATTCGGCCGTAGGGCCACGCAGTGAGAATATAGCAGTAGCTAAACGCCCGCAAGCGGAATCATTATTTTATGGTGTAATGGAACGCCATAGTTAAAAAATGTGCTCTACGCCAGTGACAATGGTACCTTCTGTCCAAATTTAGGTAGGTTATGGTAGTTTAAAAAAATAACAAAAACTCCTTATAATATAGATCCTTATTTGTTTGTATTAAAAATCATAAGAATGCCTACCTAATTTTCTGTAACGTTCAATTGTTCCACATCATTTTAGGTAAGCATAACCAGTATGTATTAATAGAAAACCTTTGCAGATGTAATGTTGCTTTAATAATTTCAAAACAAAAGAAAAACGATCAGAGTCGCGAAATGTTTCCGACTACCTACTATTATCATAATTATTTTGTGTAATTAACAATTTGTTATGCAAAACTCTGTTAAATTAATTATGCAGATGATGGGACCCCTCTCATATTCCTGAAAAAAGGGCCAATGAGGTAGAAAAGACCTCGTGGACCGTGAAACAAGTGCTTTTAGTTAGGAGTTTCAGATAAAAATCACTTCAAAAGGTCTTCTCCACCCCCTATGGTCCTTTCCCTCGAAGTTTACACTGAATTTTTTTATGACACATTAAATAAAAAATCCATCCTCTACCTACATCGTCATTTTGAAACAAATCAAGGACCAAGTGTCAGTTATATTGCTATTGATTAAACCGTTTCCGACATACATATTTCACTTTGCAGCCACAACCACTTAGAGTAGGTCACCGGTATTAGTATTTCGTAATAGCCTCGTACCTCCCGTTGTGGTTACGTCTGCGGCTGGGGTCGTGTGACAGATATGGTGGTTGAAAGTGGTCGACCTAGGCATCTAGGGCATTTTCATATTTCGATTAAAATATACTCAAAAATGTTTAAAATCTCGCAGTCCGCAATTGACCACCCTGTTATACATTAAACTGGGCCGGAAGGATCGAGAACGCCCTAGAATGTTCGAGGGCCATATTATGATGAGTGGTGGAGCCGGCTTCTAAACTATATTAGGGCATTCTCATATGTTTCGACCAGCTAAATAAAAAATCCTCTACGTTCTGAAATGTTTCTAGGGTGTTCTCGAATATCTAAGATTGTCCTCAAGTGGTATGTTCTATGGTATAGAAAACGAAAAAATCGAGTATGTTCTAGAATGTTCGGGGACCATCATGTTTGTGTGATGGAGGCGGATTTTGATACTAAATTAGTGCATTTTCCAATATATTTTTCAACCGCTGTCCTAAAAAATATTTAGGCATATAGGATAACAAATCAACCACAAAATACTTGTTTACAATAAGTGAAAAATGAAAACTCAGCGAGGCGAGGTAGAAAGTATTAATATTGTAATATAATATTAACCATATAAAAACGAGAAGATAATTTTATTTAACTTCAATCAAAAATACTATCATACTGTCGTTTCACCTGTTTTTATCAAACCGTTATCAGTTTAAATTGTATTGATATTATTATTAATCACCGATAAACGATTACACACCTTATTTTATGTAATTTCAGACATACGAAATTCCTGCACAAGGTGCATAATAGTGTTTACTTGTATTTACCTACTTGTACGTATCTTTTTAGTTTATTTGATGGCATTTTTTTAAAAATATATAAGAACGTTTCTGCAGCTTTTTTATTAAATTAATTATTTTAGATTTTCAAAGTAATTTAACTAAAATTAGATATACACTTTTCTACTAACCTTAAGATTTTACCGTTAATTGATAGATTTTATAAATAAAAAAATACAACGTGTTATTATACAACACGCTACTGAAGTGAAACTTCTTCAAACATACAAACATACCGTGATTGGGGTTAAGGAATTGGTTTAATTGTATTATTTGTACACTATGCTTCGCACGGATGCAATGCTAATAGTAAATATACTATAGAATGTCTTTATATACAAAAATCACAGCTTTTTTGTTATTATTAGACAATACAAACCGGCCGGTACTCTGCATTTTAAGTCTGTAATATCTTAGAAAATATTCATTTAAATAACATGTTGTAAAGGGCCATATTGATCTATATTAAATGCACAATGTATTTTAAAGTCCTTAATTGGATAATGATTATTGCTGTATTGCTTAAAATCGCTTCGTAAATAAGCCATTATTTCTCGTAAAAAGTAAAGGATAAAAAATGGTTGAGTTATCCCTAAGAGATAGACATATACCATCAGGGACTTTTTTGTAGACCTTTTTAAGGTTTACAGTACTGTAGCATATTCTTTTGATCTATCTCGTAGGGTTCAGCCAGCGTTTGCAATATAAGCGCAAAAAATGTTTTTATTTGCGACATCACATTACAAACCTCTAAAATTATCAGTGTTTCTCTACTATATTATGCATGTTTTATACATATAAACCTTCCTCTTGAATTACTCTATCTATTAATAAAAACCGCATTAAAATCCGTTGCGACAGACAGCGGGGGAAATGCGTTGCATGATTTCGTTACATAGCAACTCTCATATGAAACGAACTTACCCTTCACTTCAAAAAATAATTTT